TTGCATGGCAAATTTGGGGTAAAATAAGAACTACTCCATGGGGTAGTTTGGAAGTGGCCAATCAGAACCTACCCCATTTGGTGAAACTGCTTTGGGGTAGTTTCGCCGAAACTACTCCAAACAGAGCTTGGTGAAACTGGGCCCAGGAGTTGTTTACTATTTTGCCTTACGTTGCTAGGTGGTTGCTAGGGAGCTAAGGATACTCTCTTGCGCGATCATTTGCACTTATTTTTCCTCATTACATCGACATGCTGCTGTTTCTGAGGCCCAACTCATGCTAATAAAAAAGCATTTTTCTTAAAATGTGTATTTAAGTGCCGTAGTATTAACACAGCTCTGCAATTCTGCTTAAATATCTGCAAAATCTTGACTTCCCGGAAAAATGTTGGTGGTGATGGGGATCGAGCCCGTCGATGAAAAGTAAGTCAATATTCAAAGACTTCAAAACGTTATTTCTTGTTGTTCTGTAAAATAGCAATGCGAAGACCGATGATAGTGCCAGTGTTGAGCTTTCCAATGAAGCATTGCAATTAGTAGTAAGGTTATTATCACCTAAGATATCTTCCATCAAATATTAGAATTCTGCCAATGTCTTGCTGTAGAACAGGGTTACTTTCAGTCTCTTGGGAACACGATTTACCGGTCTCAGATCGAAAAACACTTCAAAAAGCGGTAATAGACAATGAAATTTCCCACCTGATAGCATCTCGGGTTTTTATATATCCTGTCTAGAATTTTCATAAATCAGACGTAAAAATGGCCAATTTTGTCAGATTCCGAATTTTTGCCATTGGGTCTAATGTAAAGCATGGCTACTTTCAGTCTCTTGGGAACACGATTTCCGTACCTCAGATTGAAAAACACTTCAAAAGTCGCAGATAGTAGACGATTTAATCTACAAGATAGCATCTCGCTTTTTTCTGTATCTGGTCATGTATCTTCATAAAACCCTCTCAAATATAGTCAATTTAGCATTAAAGTCTATGGATTTAGAAGAATTTTCATATCCGACTAGATTTGGGCTACCATGTCTGTTGACCGGGGGCCGTATTTAAGCATCTTATTTCATGTTTTCGAGGGTAACATTTTTCGCCACTTCTACTATGGGGAAACCCATAGACCTACTAGCGACCCTCCCCGGTCGCTATAATCGGGACGAGTTCCCTATTAGCGTTTTTCTTTGCAATGTTTGTGAATATGTTCTTTGTAAATAAAGTTGTGGATATTGGGGCAGAAAATGAATAAATTCTGATAGGAAAATGAACGATCTCTCCGAAAATCAATCCAGTAATACAGTGGCACCCATACAGCGTGAGCAGTGACGGCTCAAATTAACCCGCGCCGGGCCGGGGGTGTTTGAACACCCCCCTGCGGTTTTTCGCAGATATCTCAAAAACGGCGGCGCGGAGCGCCGCCGTTTTTGGCACACCTGTTCGTGCATCTATTCCGCACATGTTGTGAAAATTTCAGACCCAGGTCGCCTTAGGTCAGGTCACCAGGTCACGCCAAGTGACCTCACCTCAGAAAAAATAAGAATGCTCGTCATAGATACACCGATTGATCGATTGCCTTGAAACTTTCAGCGATTGATAAGAGCAACATTGTCTATAAAATATTTATCCCGGAATTTTGATATCGGTGACCTAAGGTCAGGTCAATTTTGCGGCCTCTCCATTATGTATAAGTCAATGGGAGAAAATTGAAAAGCGTCTGCGGTCTGTTTTGCACGAACGCTATTCTAGACACTCTCAAACATCGAGATGTAGGTAAAATTGACACACTGAACCGGAAAATGGCAACTGTGACCCCTCGTTATGTCCCCGAGGTCATCTCAGGTCACGAACAGAATCTAACAGTTTTTCGCTAATATCTTCTAATAGAGGCGTGCTAGAGCGCTGAAAACGCCTTAGATGTGTTCGGCTCGACGTTACGGATAGACTGATATGCAACATGACCCTTACCGGTCAGGTCATGACCTTGACCTGAGGTCAAATTTTCAAGTTGACCTTACAAGGTCAAATTATAGCTCATTCGACGCGTCTCGACGAGAGGAACACGATGCTGTCAAAAGTAATGTCATGGCTCTTTTGAGTCAAAAGTTATTGCCGAAAAACAGCTTTTCGTAAAAACGGCTATTTTTGGAATTTTTGCCCTCTGGAGGCTAAACCGTTGACCTGAGGTCAAATCTGAGAACATTGCTCAGAAAGGTCTGTAAAAGGGCTGTCGAATGCGCTTTTCCGCGGCGCTGTAGCTCTATCGGTTCCCGAGATAGTCGTTGGCAGTTTCCAAAATGTTGAAATAGTCAACATTTTACCTTTGGTGACCTCTGGTGACCTGACCTTTGACCTGACCCAAAAAATGACTGAAGTGTTTTCGTCCTTATTTTGGACGCTCTTTCGATTGCCGCTTACCGCGTGTCGCTACGTGGCCCAGGAGCCGAGTTAGAAGGGGGATGTTCAGACACCCCCCGGCCCGGCGCGGAATCTCAGAGCACCGGCCCGGCGCGGGTTAAGTGGGTCGCTAATTAGCCATCTTACCCTAATTTGAGGTTACGACAGAAACATGACAGTGCTGATGAACTGGATGAGCCAGCCAAATGGATGTTTTTTTTAATATACTACGAGCACGCACAAATGCAACAACAATTAATCATGTCAGTTTGAATGTTACAAACATGTATAACCTGGCCTACTATGCGTTTCAGACCCTGTGGAACAGTCCTTTTCGGCTATTTCTCGTTGTATATGCGTTCGATTTTAACCAAACTTTGGCATTGGTAGTTTGAGATCCCTACCTAATTTTTATCAATATGGTCTATTAACGAAAAATGAAAAATAAAGGCACTTGTCATTGACTGATAATGTTAAGGTCGTCAGAGCCCTGCTTAGAGGCTGACACAGGCTGGACGCTGTCTCCCCTCTAATTGGTCGAGACGCACTAGCACACTGCGGCTTGGCTCCGCCCACTTGCGGTCCAGCCTCGGGTCATGTCGGCGGCAGTCGCAGTCCGGCCGGCCGGCGTGCGGGCCGCGCACGCAGCGCAGAGGAGTGGAGCACTTGTTTGCATGTCATGAACTTTTAAAGGGACCCTCCCACCTTCAAAAAAGTTTATGAATTGGCATGAAAGTGATGTCGCTCGGTTCAGAAAGAGCGAAAACGAATATCTACCAAATTTCACCGAAAAATATTCACCGGTTTTCAAGATATTAGACTTTTACTTTTGTTTACTTTTTTGGGATCTCCGCTGTTTCTAGCGACTTTATTTTAGAAGTGCGGCGTTCGCGGCAGATGTTGCGCGCAAATAGCATATACCACCGCGTGCTACAAAACGTTTTAGTCAAACATTTAAAAATCGTTAGATATCTGCGCTGACGTCACACATTCAGAGGGGTATTCCTAAGCATTAGCCCCTCTGAATCAAAATGCTGCAATTTTGAAATTCAATATTTCCGATTTAAGGCATTTCTCGATGTTGTGAGTGCCGAAACCGGTAATTGTGAGCCAGGGACCCCATTTTGGCTATCTCAACTCAAATCTAATGTTAAGGTGGGAGGGTCCCTTTAATAAGTTGTTCTACGACAAATAAGGACGGAGGAAGAAAGAGAAAGGAAAAGGAGACAAAGTGACAATGAGACGAACGGTAAACGTTGGCTAGTGGACAACAAACAATATGCATATAGCCGCTAGAGCAGAGACAGGAGACGAAGACGATAGACCAGAGACAAGTGACGAAGATAGAGATTAGGCTATAGACGAGAGACAATATACTATAAACGTATAGACGAGAGACTGACAAGGGGGAGTGAAGGACGGGAGATCATGAACTCTCGATATTGCATATCTACATTTTCAGATTGAGTCATCCTATATTTTTCCCTGTTTTATTGTTTTTCGGGCCTAAGATCTATCAACAACATTCTGAAAGCATTGTGGAAATGTCACAGAAAGATTTACCTATTATTTTCACCCCCCCCAAAAAAATATTCTTTTAAACAAAAAAAAACGAAATACCTACAAGTATCTATGTGGATATCTTCAATTAAATAAGGCCGTTGAATGCAAAGACAGTCCGGTGAATTCTGTCCCGTTACTCCTTAAATGCACAATAGACTAGGAAAACGGCTGCGGAGAGGCTCGCTATAAATTATTGAAAATAAGATTATTTTAAGTCTGCATAGGGAATAACATTCTGTAGCTAGGAGTGCTTATTGTTTTATACATACACCGTCGCGATCTGCATTGAATTCTTCATCCTTATTCTCTCCGCGCGAGATACGACATTTACAATATTCACGCAATGATGCCTGCGTTAGCGTGTGTCTCGTTCCAGTCCGTCAGAGCTCCGCACCGCTCTGACCCCGAGCGGCGAATGACCGGTCCCGGTGTCGCGGCACAGTGGGCGGAGCTTAGCTGCGGCGCAACAGCTGACGCTGCAACGCCATGCTAGCCTCTACCACGGTGTAGAGTTTTCCGATCAATTTTTACCATTACAAGTCAACGACAAGTGCCTTTCATTTTGACATTTTGTTAAAAGACCATATTAGTAAAAATTAGGTAGGCCCTTGAAACACATTGTGTCAAAGTTTGGTTAAAATCAAGCGTATAGGTAACGAGAAAGGGCCAAAAAGGACTGTTCCAGAGGGTCTGAAATGCGTAGTACTTGTGTAAGAAAATCACTATTTCCTTTACGGGCTCATAAGAAACTGCCAAAGAGCAATGAAATGGAAGAAAATGTATTATTTTGCCTAAATGCTTAAATGTATGTGATAATATACCTAACTATTCACAGCAATTTAAAAATTCCTATTCCCGTCATATTCGCTCAAGAGGGTGGTGTCGCAAATCGGGAAGGGTCGCTAATAGGAGCATTTTCCCCATGCATCAACCTTTCTCGATAGATCAAGCAAAGGTCCCAACTGAACTAGATAAAAGTAACATTATTTCTGCACGCAACATAATTCAGCAGTTCCCTAACTCCAAAATTTCATAAACGCGACCAGATTCTAAATATAGGTATATTGTAAACTTCTGAAGTTGTTATCAACACAGTCAAAGACAATCCCGGCTTCGACATTCATCTTTATCCCTGCATCTGTCCTGGGCCCTAAGAACGTACAATATGTACATGGAATCCAGACTGTCACTGTAAAATACAGTTCTATAATGCAGATTCAGGTGATAAACCACAGGACGCTGCAAGCGCCACCCTGAACAGAAGCAGGAAACACTGAAGCTCGGTCTTGCTCTTCACTGAAGTTCCACACCTGCAATGGATGTACACGTAAACTGACAGCCAACATTGTGATTTGCATATAGGTTATCAGGAACATGCTTTTATTTTTAAAAAATAGGCATCGTATGCCAAAATTCCGTGTTCCTAATTAGCCTGCCCGCGAATAAAACCAACACCAATGCCAAAGCATAGTAAGGCAAGTTTCATGGTAACAAAACACGTGCTACAGTGAACTAAAAATGGCCGACTGAGAATCGGTCCCCCGATGTAAAAGCTCCACATCTCAGCCACGAAAAGGGGGAGGGGAGAAATAGATCGAGAGAAATAGAGACAGAGGGAGAGAGGAGATATAGGAGATGAGAAGAAAAGACTAGAACAGGAAAGAACAGAACAGAAAACAAAACAAAACAAAACAAAACAAAACAAAACAAAACAAAACAAAACAAAACAAAACAAAACAAAACAAAACAAAACCGGAAGAAAAGAGGAAAACGAGAAAAAGGCATACACAACACAACGCCCATTGTGAAAAAGTGAAACTGCAGGACATCTCTCCCAAAGATATGTTTTCGATATGCACTTCATAGTTTTACTATATTTGGGTGTATCTTTAGTGAAGCTGTTTTTTGCTACCTTGAAGTCCGATGGAGTTTCCGCTGTCCGTTCTCAGGATGGCCATTTTGGCCTCCACTCGGTGTTCGTTCAGAGCTGGTCCCCATGTTTCGTCGGGACGCGACAGCAGCCGAAGCCTCTGGGGGGCAGCAACACACAGCCGTTAGATGAATGACACCTGAATTAACGGCTAACGAGTCTGGACTATCTTCATACTCGCTGAAAAACTTCGGAGACGAGTATCGTTAGAAAGTCCACGGCTTACTAACGGTACGTTTATTTTGTATCATACGTTCTCTCAGCCACACGTGCTGGGTTGATTGGCTTGAAGCGACATTTGACACTCAGCAATCTGCATGCATCACTAAGCGCTTAAGGTCACGAGATGAGTGTGAGCTTACTTCCATCAGGGTATGACGTGGGTGCATCCTGGCCAGTTTGATGACGGCCACCAGCGGAATCATGGCGACTGACGTCAGTGAGATGAGCCAGCCCACGCCGGTGGCCCACAGCGGGAACTCATAGTCGCCGTACTGGATCGGCTTGTGGTCTATCCAGGTGAACAGCAACAGAGCCTGCGCCGGTGTCAATCACATCAATCAGACTCACAAGTACACCACACAAGCACCTGCATACAAAATATGTATATAGATTCGCTGAACATGTTGCCCGCAGGCATAAAATGCTGAACGAAAATTGGGGCACGGCAGGCCGGATGATTTTAATGCCGGTTAAGGTAAACCGAAAGTTAAACCAAAGCAGCTTTCGAATGATAGCATAACCGGCTAAATAGACTTTAAATAATCAACTAAGTCCCTCCCCCCGCTTGTCTGTCTCCCCCTCAAGCTTCCTCGGCGTCTGTGCGCTCGTGTGCGGCGCTTACCGTGACGATGGTGGGCGAGACGACCTTCCAGGCCCACTTCCACCAGCTGTAGTGGAACGGGTAGTGGCCGATCATGGTGCGGATGTTGTCCAGCAGACGGTCGGCGCCGTAGATGTGCGCCACCACCAGCACCTCCGTCATGCCCACGATCAGAGCAGAAAACGTGCCCGCGTAGTTGTCCATCAGCTGGGGCAACAGTAGTAGTTTGGTCAGTCCGATCATCTGAGCCCGCGACTCTACATACAACCAGTAAAACGCCTTTTGGGCAAAGAACGAGCTAGAGAGAAAGAGAGAGAGCCCTGCACGTGCGGAAGAGTACGATCATGTGTCTCGCGCGCGGGGCGACCTGGGCCTGCACACACCGCGCTAGATGTCTGACGCGCAGACTGCGATTGCGGCACATAGAGTGCGTGCCTCATGGGTGAGCCCGAGGAGCTCGCTTTACTGTTTATGTCATTCGCAGATGCACGGCAATGTAATCGCTCCACCAGACGGGACCATGACTTGCGCCCGCCAGCCACCAGAAAATAAGCCTCTGAGATATAAGCCTCTCAAAAGCGTTACAGGCCGGGTCGGGCCGGGCCGGGCCGGGCCGGGCCGCTCATACTGAAATAATATTGAAAAGAATTCGCTTCGTTCGCTTCATGCTCGTAATACCTATGTATGTATCCGTGAAAATGTCCCGATTCAATTCAAATGTCACCTTTTGCCAGAACGTTAGAGGTTCACAATGAAAATCGATAAGAAATTTAATACTAGCTGAAAAAATGCGCCATTCCCAGCACTCCGTTTTTTTTTCTAGAGCCATTCATGATTCAGTGATTTCCTACTTCTATCACGAAGTGCGAGGATTGACAATCGTGCAGCTTTTATGTAGAGTATGTTGGTGTGAAGCAATATCATGCCCTAAATTGCAGTGGCTATTTGTCGAGCGCTACTCACTGTGAGTATGTAAAGGCCGCCGCTGGTGCACATTGGAAGGCCACAGAAGAACATGAAGAGGCAGCACCCCAGTAGAACCCACCTGAGCGACAGAGAGGGCACGTGAGGAAGGCAGCGTAGTCTTCTTACCAAAAGTAAAGGGTACATACAAAATTTATGAAGCGCTACTGCTTATAGTGAATAGGTGACACATGCGTTTCGCTTCCCATGCAAATATCAATCGTTTTCGAATCACAGCTTAAAATTATAATTGATCGAATTGAAAAAAACTAGATGATATATTTTCATTTTCCATTTCGATTACGCTCTCCGTCACTCACGTCTGTTTGGCCCTGAGCCGGTCGGGGGCGAGGTCGACGACAGTGCTGACCACGGTCTCCATCATGGTGAACTGGGAGCCGACGCCTAGCGTCAGCAGCATGGCGAAGAAGCAGATGGACCAGAGGGGGGCGACCGGCAGCCGAGACACCGCCTCCGGGTACACAATGAACGCCAGGCCGGGCCCTGCACGGTCAGCGCAGCACAGCGAATTACACGGCGCCACGGTGGCAAACTGTAGAGTGTTATTGGTTCGAAAAGTACTGTAGTCACTATCTGATTCATAAATGCATGTGATGCACAGGTCGAGGCATTCGTTGCCTTCCCATTTACTTGAATTTGAAGTAATTACACTACTAGAACCGACCTTGAGCAGCTACGTCCTCCACTTTGACGCCTAGTTCGTGTGCCATGAAGCCGACGATGCCGAAGATCACGAACCCGGCGAAGAAGCTGGTCAAGCAGTTGCCGCACGATATGATGATGGCGTCCCTAAAACGGCATAAAGAGCAAAGTGAAATAAGCGATATTCTGAGTCTTGTGAATTGTGCAATGCATACTTCCCATACTGACTGGACTTACGAGCGACTCGATGAACTGTACGGTCTACAGAGAGCAAAACACGAAAGCAATATACCATTAGGGGTCGTTTTATTTAAAAAAGGACGCAAAATTTCACGCGGTTGACCATGAATGACAAGAATTGGAAGACGCTAAAACGGATAACAACATTAAGTTAAACAATTTTAATGCATTTCAATTGCAACAAATATTTTTAATGCATTAGTATGAGTCGCAACTTTATCAAAATATTCAATTTTATTCGTACCACTATTTCGGATGCCGAAGAACGATAGAAATAGACTTACCTGAAGTGATTGTTGTGAAACTTGTTGTAAGCTGAGAGTGCAATCAGTCCACCCCAGCTATGTCCCAACGAGAAGAATATCTGGATCGCGGCGTCGGCCCACACCTGACAAACAGTAAATACGGTGACAAAATACTAATGTAAGGCAAACACACAATCAAAGCTGTCCAGTCAAACACACCCTCATATCCAGACCAACCGTAAAATGTTTGTTTCTTTTTTGAAAGGAACACAAGTACCGCAAACCGTCTAAATAAACAAGGTCTTCCAACTATCTCTCTTCCCGTAAAGACTTGCATAAAATGCCTCTGGTGACGGTTACGGGTGGGTCACGCCCTCTGTTTACCAATAAACGAGCACCAGGCATTTTCCTGCACCCTCAGACGTCGCGACACGCCCCCTCCCGTAAACTTTACCATAAGGAGACGCTTATGTAGCATGCAACTTATGTCGGGGATTGTTTATCTTGGTCATTTATTCGTGAGGGCAGATGCATATGTCATCGGAAGGCGATGTTTACATGTGCAACTGCACATGTCATATATTTAGATCAACGGTTATCCATTTTATGAATTATAGCAAAAAATTAACATCCTACACCTATCGTCGTAAAATGAAAGGTATTGCTTCCGGTATCTCTAAACTAAGTATTGCATGTGATGCATTCACATAATGATCTATTCAAATATTATTTATCGTATATGCATTTCCGTCAATATAACGCCGCCTCCATGAATTAAATACTCGTATCATTCAAAATCCACCCGGGGGTGGGGGTTGTCACTTCATACCACCGATGGCACCGACACCTACCTTGACGTGAGCCAGTTTCTCCCAGCGCGGGGTGATGTAAAAATAGATGCCCTCCATGTATCCGGGCAGCGTGGCGGCACGCGCCAGAAGGCAGACCAGGATCAGGTACGGAAAAATAGCCGTAAAGTAGACCGCCTGTAACACAACGGTCGTAAATGCAGGCATGAAAAAATCGCTGGATCTGAGAGTTCAAAAACTCAAGAAAGTCATTTCTTTATTTATGCTTTAGTAACTGCTTTTATGAACTGGCGTTCCAGCAAACATTCACATGTTCAGTTTTGAAATGTAAGTTCATGTTGCTAGCTCCATGATGGTTTAGTCCCGTAGGACAAAACTTTAATGTTCAGTTTTAAAATGTAAGTTTATGTTGCTAGCTCCATGATGGTTTAGTCCCGTAGCACAAAACTTCAATAGACTTAAAGGGACTATCCCACCTTTAACATGGGATTTGAGTTGAGATAGCCAAGTTTGCGGCGAGGTTCAGAAACCACTATCTATTTAGGTTGCAACCCCCGCGGCCTCTTGGTGTTGAAGAAATTCGTTCCCTTCATTTGAAAATGGGCCTTGTACAAGGCCCTATCTTCAACATGGAGCGACCGTTAGTGTGACGTCACCTCGTTTAGCCATTCTGATTTAAATGGGTTTGTTCGTTGAAAAATCGCTTAAAACTTGGTCTGAACTTTGTTGTGGTGCCTACAGAGTAAAAAGAATCAGCTTTATGACAGTAATGTGGCCTGGGGAAGGAGGTAATTTTGGGCTGTGACGTCACATATTTGAAAGTTTGTGTTTGGAATATGGGAAGCCTAAGATGTTTAATGAAAAATAAATGCCAGAACCGTGTTCCTGGTCATCCAATCTATAAAGTCGGACACAATTTAACTGGTTTTAACAACATTTTAGAAGGTGGGATAGTCCCTTTAATTGCCCTCGCCTAACCATGCAAGTTTTTTGTCCGTCCTCCGCCTCCTGAAGGCATTCACTTCCTTTATGAAGGTCGCGGTGGCAAATCTGCCTGTATCAGCTATCCACCGTCGGTACTAAGAGCCGCTGCTTATACCCACCTTGCCGTAAGTTTTGACGCCTTTGACCATAGCCAGGAAGACGATGGTCCAGGCGCTAAGCAGGCAGAGGGCCAGCGGCCAGCGGAACGCGCCCAGGTCATCGATACCGTCCGTTATCTGCAGCATGTAGTTACTGCAGCGGGCGGAGGGCGCTGGTCAGCCACTGACTTTATTATAGATACTAGTTATTTCAACAAGGGTCTCAATTGAAAGTGAAAAACATTGTAGCATACCATTGTAACAAATATCGTAACTGCTAGGAATTTCATAACTTGATGTCCGTAAGTTTATCTCGGACATGATCAGATCGAAAATTCCCATTCGATAAAATAAATATGCAGCTGAAAGACCACAAGCACATTTTATCGCTATCGTAATCGTTGAACGGCTAGAGTGAGCACATTTGGCAAATAAGTTGGATCATATAGAGCTCTCCTATTTCTCTGCCTATCTCACCTCAGCCCCATTGAGCTTGTGGTCAAATGGTCACATCAGTTTTTAATTGAGCCCCAACGACTGTTTGCAGAGGAGAGGGCTCTCACTGGAAAAACTCGTCGGCTGGCATCCTGTGGGTGCCGATGGAACCGGAGGTGTTCCACAGCCTCTGACCGCCCGACTGGACGCAGCCTTCAGTGTCGTTGGCACCGTCCCCCGCCGTGCACGGCTCCGGCTGGAACACGTGACACCCTGCGGAACCAGACAGTGTCGCCATGACACCAGCATGTTGAGTTGACACTATACCAGTGTTCATATATCATGGTGAATACAGATGATCATCACAGGGCAGGACCAGGCCTGCCGAGCGCATCTCACTGAAGCAGAATTGACACACACCAATGACCCTAAATGACCCCAGCCGAGCGATACTGACCTTCCGTGTTCCACCAGTTGTCACAGCCGTCCCAGGGCAGGCTGCTCGTCAGACTCGAGTACACGTAGAAAATGGTCCACGCCAGAATCATGTTGTAGTAGATGCCGATTGTCAGCGAGATGACGAACATGGCGTAGCCGATGCCTGCCGACAAAGTTAGCGTACGGAAATGATCGTCGACAAATAGGCAACAGCGTAAGCATTTTACAGAGAGGTCCAATGGAAGATGAATGGAAATCCACAGCCGGCGCGACAGCAGGCTTACCATCAAAGACAGAGATTTTGATATTAGTTCCGCCGAGGTTCAATAGCTGAAAGTATTAGGACGATAGGCTTATGCCCTCTTATGCTCATGGCCCTTAGTTGGTCCGATGGCCATTCACCTTGGACTCATGACACGGACTTTTCTGCACGACAGCGGCAGCGGAAGTCACGGCTTTGACCATACTCTGCCTCTACTATCACCCTGATATATCGCAGTAAATTTTATATAAATATGCTGCCCGGCGTCTCAAATAAGTTATCACTTAGAAAGCTCACCATTGACCAATGTAAATCATAAAAGGCAGAGGTAAAAGCAGTCTGCATGGGCTGCTGTTCAGCTCTCACCTTGGAAGAGAGGGGAGACACTCCATATGCCGATTGGACCCTGACTGGTGAACTGACCCATCGTCAGCTCGAAGAAGAACAGAGGCACGCCCGTGCAGAACAGCATTATCACGTACGGTATCAGAAAGGCCCCTGTGAAACAAACGGCCGCAAGGAAATAACAATAACAGGGAAATAAAGATTACAGGAAAATTTGTTAAATTTTGCGTAGGTACAACTAGAATATCAGACGTCAAAGGAAAATAATTTTTGACACAAAATTATATAGCCAACACATGTGACGGTTTATGTTTAAATATACCTCACTTTTAAGCTAGGGTAGGATATATAAATGTTTATCGGATTCGTATAAGACAAATGAAAAAAAAATCGTCTTTTAAAATATTATTAGTTTAGTTAACCCGAATGGTTGCTTTAGCCTCCGCATGCGATTGCGGAGCCCAAACTACTCACCGCCTCCGTTCTGGTAGCAGAGGTAGGGGAACCGCCAGATGTTTCCCAAACCGACCGCGTACGACAGACAGGAGAGCAGGAACTCCAGCTGGGAGCCCCAGGTGCCGCGCCGGCTGGAGTCGGCCTGTTCCTCGTCATCATCGGCAGGCGGCGCTGCAGGAGGAGCCGCCACAGAGGTCCGGTGCGGGGTCGAGGCGGGGTCCGGGGGCACTGCGGCCGCGGGGTCGAAACCCTGTCAGAGGCAAGCAGCCAGCTGTTACGATGAGCCATTCCTCAGCAAGTGTAGCTTCGGGAACGCTTGCCAGAGGTCGTGGTCATGGTTTAAATCTTATATGTTCCAAGTACATGCGCTGTATACAGCTGAATTGCAGACATATCCGTGCCAGTGTTACCATAAATAATCATTATACACAAATACCTAACATATCGAACATCTCCACAAATAGAGTGCCGCTATCTTCCATCATATTTACCAGCGATGGGGAGGGGAACCGAGCCCGCGTCACATGCTGGAATGAATAAATATTTGGCATGTCCCGGCGATTTCCTGATTCCAGAACTAAGATGAAAGGGGTAGAAAGTAATTTGGAATATGCTTCTTCTGTCCACTGTCAACCGCGCTCTCCAGTATCTACTTATAATCACATGTAACAGTAGGTTGAATATTTGAAATGCAGTCTCTGAGCGGTCACTGAAATGTGTCATTTTGTATCAATGGCGACGTATTGCGTGTTTCGCTGATATCGAAAAAACGCAGTTGTTAATAATTTCCTTCTGGTTCATGTCTTCTCGAGAGCATACTGCAATCAAGAACCAAAAACCATCCCAGCCTGTACCGTAAAAATAGGAGAAGGGGCCCATTTACCCGTATTAACCTTCGTGCATTTGGTTATTCGGGTGTACCTATATTAGTAGAATTCGTCGAGTATATCCGCAGACTCTCCAACCCCGTAGAGCCCCTCTTGGACTGCCGCCCACGGCTCTGTGCACCCCCCCCCCCCCTCCGTGGCTGTCTGGCCACAGTTCCGTCCGCGTGGCAGCAGGGATATTTTGGGAGTGGCGTCACCGATGGAGCACGCCGCTCCGCCGTGACCCAGACCGGCTCACAGCTGGGCCAGCAGCGGAGGCCTCCTCAGTGAGCATACATACATACATGCATGCATGCATAAGGCGTGCATAAATACATGCATAAATTCATGCAAAGGTACCCACATGTGTGCATACCACATGCATGTATACATACACACATGCATGCGTGCATGATGAGGCCTAATGAACGAAACGAACCCACCTAATGATGTAGTTGTGTTGATTCATCCGTTAGACTTATTCATAATATTATCGTGCATGCACACAAGATTTGTCGAGTGTGTTTGGATGAAGCGCAGCGAAGGGCCTGCCGGATATGACTGTGTTGACAGTCGGCGTCCGCACAACACACGCAGTCTATACCGACCCGTCTGGTGCAGTCTTAGCGAACTGTCACAGCGGCCACCGGCCAATCAACGCCGCCCGAACTGACCACGTGGCAGGCGGGAGGGGCTGTATGATGACGCCACACCTCTGCACTATTTGCTGGCGCCGCTGCTGACGTAAATGGCGTCAGACGGTCAGCATACGGCACGTGCCGTACGAGGGTGGCCGACTCGCTCCCCCACACACGGAGTTCACCCGGCCCCACTAATGGTATCTCTCATCTGTATTTATGTTTTAGGTATTGCATTTTGACGTTTGAGCATCACTTGTCTTAGGACACATGAAAGCTAGTGACAAAAGCTCTATCGTGCTTACTGCTTTGGTATCAGCTTTTATTTTATATCCCTATTCCATAACTATTCCATAACCCTTTAATTGACATATACTTGCTAAAGAATGATTGAATAAGAGGTTCTAAGACTGAAAACGGTAGGTAGCAATAAATTGCTATCGTTTCTCGACGCTATTCTGAATGAGCTGGCCTTGAGACGGTCGATAGCGATCCATGGCCTGCTCCATATATTTTTCAGGCATTATGGGACATTCGATTGAGGTCGGTCATCATGCGCCAGTGCAGTTTGGCCGGTTTTGATTGTATCCGTAGATTGTACAACAACCTTCTTGTGTTAGAAGGCGTATAAATTTGTAAAACGACACAAGAACACTCTTTGCTAATGATAGTACCTACATCATCGTCTCTTACTTTGGCATAGCTAGGTATTTCGGTGGAGACTAAAACTGAAGCCGTTTAGTTCGCGAGATATTAAGGTATAGTTCGCTGTGGAGATAGCTGATTCATGCCACTGCTTTCCATGAAATGCCTCTTTAGAGAACAGTCGCATGACGCATGATTAGGTACTGCCTATGTTACCCTTGGGTTGCCATTAACTTTATTTAGCAATTTCCTTCACGCAGGATACCAAGCCACATCGATAACAATAGGTATGAACAATATACAATATAAATTCAACAGTCTCTTGAATACGCACGACAGGTACTCGATTGTGATTGATTTTGCAACTGTTCTAAAATTTTACGGAGAGCCATAGACCGCAGTGCATTCGACATGCCAGCTTGTGGGAATATGGGACAAAGGACTTTACTTTATTAGTCCTTTATGCTTTATTACTTTATTATTATTACTTTATTACTTGTTAAGTCCCTTACAGACCACGGACAATCGTCAAGCACACAGCGCCGGAGCTCTTGGCACACGAGCCAACACCCGTTTCCAAGGCACTTGCCAAGACGGCCGGCACGTTTAACCGAGTGGAACTTTACTGAGTGGTACTCCACGCGTGCGCACCAGTGCCGGCGGAGGTTGCGCCATAGCTGATTGGAAGTATTTCGGGGAGGACTCAGGGTAATGCCCTCTAACAAGGCAGCCCGCCACGTCCCCTAACAATCACGTTCACTGTAATGAAGAAGATATTGCTTATCAGACATCCCGTAGCTCATGGCTGGTAGAGCGTTGGATCAATGATGATTTCCCGGTTCAAAGTGCTCCGGTTCTCGATATATGAGACTCCTGACGGCCGAATGGCCCATGCTGTTGGCAGGTGCAGGCGGTGCAGCCACAACCGCTCGAAGTCGGTAGAGTGGGACGAACAGTGTCCAACTTTGATGGACACGATAAACTTTGTCTTTCAAAGTCACCCGTTAACCGGAGAGGCTCGATCAGACTGTAGTGGCTAGGTCCTACCGCCTACGCAACAAGCCCTGTTTATCTCGGCTCTGTCAATTCCTCCATCGAAAAATTCGACCGTAATAAATAACAATGGACTCACTCCATGGTATTTGCGTCGGGATACGAATGCCCCACAATGACCGGAAGTCATCGAGGCGCGAATTTGAACGACAAGAACATGATTCACAAAAGGTATATGCGACTCTTTCTCCAAAGAGCCATTTAGTGGACATAACAAAGGTATTTGCTGTGAAAGCACAGAACTAACGCAGAAGAGGACGATGCAAGCGATGAATGAAACGCATCTACAAGAAGGATGAAGAGATTGAGAAACAAGACCTAGGGAACTCACAATAGTCAGCCGTGACTGAAAAGACATGGTCAATGTTGTGCTTATCAACATAAATGGTGCCCTGCAACGTGCCATGATGGCCACTGGCTAATGGCTATGGCACAAATGTCCATCCGCAGCCGTCAGCGTGTGTTCATAGCCGAACCGAAAAGCCGTGCCGCCCGTATCATCTCACAAAAAATATCAATGCATCCGATAATCGAGAAGCTATTGAAAATGGAAATAGGTAGGGTACCAATTACCATAGTGATTTATCGTTAGGTATTTATAGCCTCGGCTATACCTTCCTATGGTATAGCCAATAGGCGTGCACTTTCGTGCACTTTCGTGCATTGGCGTGCACTTTCTGCTGTTGCAGGTTGTGGTATTCCATACCATTTACCTATCCTGATCCTGTTGGCAACCAGCATGTGCTAAACACTAATGGGAGTAATGCATTTTAATTGATAATCCGATTGCGATCTGCAGCTCTAGAGATAAAACTTTCTTTTTTACCGGAATATGGTTAGACTTTGTTAGGCTAATCGGCACAACTGTGAACCACTAAAAAAGTATTTGCATTCGCAAATATTTTTGAGTCTTTTTAGACCGCGTCGGTCCATAACATAATCGAATACATTTTTACGCGCACTCGCTGTTTGGCATCCGGCCGTTCTCACCTTGGCTGGTGGCGCGGCGCCGCTGGGCGCGCCGACCGCCTCCGAGTAGCTCGGGGGCGCGAGGCTGGCCATATTCTCGGCTCCGCGGGACAGTCACTGGCACAGTGCGGTCGGCGGCGTCGGCCGTCGGCGACTGCGCCCCCGGGGGCCGACGGACGAGCCCGAGACGGCGTCCGACACTCGACACTGGCCACCGGACACCGACCGCTGCAGAGGCACGCCAACGAGCACCGCGCGCCGGCCCCGGGACACGGTCACGGCCCGCCCGGTGACCCGTGAGGCGGTCCGCCGTACTCGGAGCCACACCCCCACCCGGCGCGCCGTGACGAGACCAGGGCCTCGTTTCATAAAAGGAATTACTTACGGCGTTCCGTCAATTATGCCAGATTTGGCGTATTTGATGCCAATTCGGTTTCATAAAGCCGGAGACCGGAGTAATTCACGCCATCGAAATTACGGAGCTTCATTTACGGCAAATGCTCGATTCCGGACCAATTGATGCCATTTGGGTTTCATAAAACGACGTAATTAACGCCAAATATTTTATCAAGCTCTTGATATCAGTGGTGTAAACTACGCACAAAAATGTTGCGTGAATTTGAGTTAATGTGAAGATTCGAAGCTAATTTTTGATATATTTTATAATGTTGAGCCCGGTGAGGAAGAAAGAACAGCCAAAATGAGAAAAAGAAACTGCAAATCTTCTGTACCAGTCGCTTTTTGTGGCCACTATCGGAATTTTGTTTATTCGCCGCGCCGCGCCACTTTCGTAGTTAGGCACTTCTGCTTAGCTGGCTTTCTGCTGTTTTCAATATATTGATTTAAGAAAGGATGGTCATCAATATCAATTTTGTTTTTTCATAAATAATTTTTAAGATTTAAATTCAACATAATTGTTTTATAATTTCTCGTAAAAAAATAAGTGTTGACATGAAACTGTAATTTGTAGGACACTTGATAAATTACGGTAACTACGCAAATGTGCTTAGTTACGGAGGTGTAAACAATTCCAGTTTTGGCTTTGTGAAACGGCTTAGTTTACGCTCCGTAGTTTGAAAGGGTGTGAAATACGGAAAGGTGTAAGTTACGGCAGAGTTTTATGAAACGAGGCCCAGATGAGACTGTGGCTCATGGCGCATCGCGGTAGAGCATTGTGTGGCTCTGAACTGTAGTGGAAATGTACGAGTACAGAGTGAGCAATGCGCAATGCGCATGGCATGTCGTATTATCCCGGCCGGGCCCGGGGGGTAATCCCAACCACCGCAGCCCGGGGGGGGCGTTTTTCGCCCCCCCCCCCCTGTCTAACTCCGTAAATAAGGGAGCTACAGAAACAAAAGCGATACCAAACGAAAGGTCCTTACGAGACGATTCTAATGCACCCAAAATTTTTGACCTCAGGTCAATTTTCAAGGTCAGAGGTCAAGGTCAAAGGCCAAAACCGGCACATGTGTAGTGATCTCAAAGTAAGCATTCTAGAGGACGGCAGGCTGCATCAAACCGGCAAAATTGGGTGTTAAACGAAAGAAGAGAATCTGAGGATTCTGAAAATGTGCTCCAAATCAAAGGTCAAGGTCAAGGTCACGCTCAAAATTGACCTCAAACTTGGCACTTTTTCGCACATCTTGCGTGCTAACTTCCAAGATGTTTTGAAATGTTTTGAGGCTTATCAGTTCCCTATTTGTGGTTCATCTTACGATACAAGGCTGCTCAAAGGTCAAGGTCACAGAATAGTATCCCTGCTAGAGGCTATTTCACTGATTCAAGTTAGTAATAATAAATAAGACAATTTTGCCATCCGGAAGCTCTAAATGAAGGCTTAGAGGAAAATAGATGCCAGATTCGTGATCAGCGGGTACAAATCCATCATAAACGACCTCTCATGTGTCAAGGTCAACCAGAGGTCATTCGAGGTCACATGAGGTCAACATAAAACTTGACCTTTTCCGAACAAAATATATATCATTCGACGCGGCTTGACAAGGCGAATGCGATGGTACCACTGCCGTAGCTCTAGGACCATTTTTGTCGAAGTTATTTGCGAAAAACTAAAACCACATTTCGGGGTCGTTGACCTGACCTCTGACCTCAGGTCACCGAAACTATTTTTCTAATTTTCTCTAGGTCAAACGCTACACAGCCGTGCTCGTAATTTGTCTTTATCTCTAAAACTCTATTTTTAGCAGCTATTTGAAGTTTGCGTCTGTGACGCCGAAGTTTGCCGTGCAGGGGTCTAGAAAAATGGACCTTGTGACGTCATCAAGGGGGCTAGGTCCAAATTTTTTACTTCAGAAGATGTCAAATTGATGGGAGAAAAGGTACTGAAAGTTTCGCCTTCCTATCCCTAAGCGTTCGTGAGTTATCGCAAATATTCGCCAGGGGGGGGGCGAAAAACGCCCCCCCCCCCGGGCCCGCGAGGGTTATTCAACGTATGTATATGTTACAGGCCGTATGAAAACTCAGTCCGTTTGCAAACGGCCTGGTCCGATTCAGGCCGTTTGCAAACGGCCTGGACAGCCCAGTCAGTATGCAAACGGACTGAAAAGTCAGGCCGTTTGAATACGGGCTGAAATTCCAGGCTGTATGCAAACCGCCTGAAATTTCAGGCTGTTTGGAAACCGTCTAGGCCGTATGACAACTTTCGAGACACCAGGCCGTTTGCAAACGGTCTAGGCACTTTGAAAACAATCTGGTCTGCATGAAGATAGCTGGACAATGTTGAGTTTGTTGAAGCACGACCATTTCATGACATTACATGGCACCATGAAATCATGGTCAGGAAGAGATTAGCAGAACTGAGGCCCGGCCCGTATAGCGCCCGGTCGACCCGGGCTTCCCACCGGACTTCAAAGTTTCGCCTTCCACCGCAATGGTCAAGTATTGCTGGCGTACGCCACCGGCCAGCCGCCGGCGGTCGACCGGGCGCGGTGAGGACCGGGATATGATGAAGTTTTCATACAACACTACCATAACCCCTACTTTGATTTGTCTTGGTTCTACCCCGACTAAACCACTCTATCGTTTATATTCAGGGTTCTGCCATTTTCCCTCTCCAAACGGGCCTGAAGTTTTCCCTCCACCTCCCCTTCCCCACACACCAATAAATACGAAACGGCATCCTCAAACAAAAAGCAGAAGTGCATCAGCAACTCAATTTGCTTACGTCGCCCTACATATGTACTGCCTGTGGTGGCTTTACCAGGCTCCATCAACTGGATGGCCGATAAACAGACGGACCGAGAAATTGTATTATTAGTAATATTATCGGGAAAACGGCCGGGCCGAGCATCTGCACAGTAAGAAAATGTTGGACGTAGACAAGTCATTCAGCAGAATGCGCAAGCATTCATGGATACAACCTGATCATCGACCAACCTGTATCCATTAATTCATCTTCAGAGGCTGTTGTACTTCGCCAGACCGTTTGAAAACTGACTAGACCGTTTTCAAACGGTCTAGGCCGTTTCAAACTGCCTAGGCCGTATTCATACGGCCTGATATTTCAGGCGGTTTGCAAACGGCCGGCTTTTTCAGGCCGTTTTCAAACGGCCTGACTGGGCCAGGCCGTTTGCAAACGGACTGGGTTTTCATACGGTCTGTAACATATACAAGATGCTGGCATCGACAATCGTAATAAAGAACGCCAGCAAGCAACGAGCATCATCATCACAAACACGAATTGTTCTCAATTGCGCCATGCACAGATAACAGTAGTACCTACTACTGTTATCTGTGTGCCATGCGGTTTGTGAGTGCCAAATGAAATCATTCGGCATTATTTTTACCAAAAACCCCATAGGCGGCGGAACGGGGAGGGCACCGGGGCGCCGTGCCCCCTTTGATTTTGGCATTTTAACATTAGCCCTATGGGCGTTGCATGGAAAAAATGGGACCAAAAGTCGGCAGTGCCCCCCCCCCCCTTAAAGGAAATAGTTCACTTTCACGAAATTATTTTTTTTTGCAATGGATTTATGATTTTTTATGTTCAAAATGATCAGCAAAGAAAATAAAACCTATTTATAACAAAAGATTATTTTCTATATTTTGATATAAGAAGAACTTTTCAGTTTCTGTAAGGCACAGGCGATCCAGTATGAAAAGAGCATGGGTTCCGAAAATTCTTCAGAAACTAGAGAAATTATCGCGGCCACCGGCATTTGGGCGATCTGCTGCTGCTGATTGTCCTTATTGATCAGTACGAGAATTTCTCTTGAGTTCTCGTAGATAATTTCACTAGTTTCTGAAGAATTTTCGGGACCCATGCTCTTTTCATACTGGATGCGAATATATGCAAGGCACACATCCTCAACGCAATACACCTTTTTCGGGACGAGAAATAGAATATCTTTGCCTAGGGTGATCGTTGGGCTGTAAAAGCTCCTGATTTATGCTCGTCTCAGCCCAAGCTACGGAACTGCTATTCCAGTTCAAAACCCATGTTAAAAAGTGAACTATTTCCTTTAATTGAAGGTGTTCCGCCGCTACTGAAAAAAACCGTCTTAAGTCTCTATTCTGCAACGCTAACTGTTCGTTCTGTGATAGGTCATCATATCATCATTTGACTTCCAGGTCAACGGTTCTTCTGACATGTGAAAAATTGATTCATTGGACTTAGTTTAGGATAATATTAAAGAAGATATAATAATACCCACCTAAACCATGCCCACATACACCCACAATGCCCTTTAACACGCGCACCGACGGGGGTCTGCGCCAACTTCGTACCGACGGGGGGGGGGCGGATGACCGCCCCCCCCCCCTGAGATCTCGAGACCGAAGCAAGATAGCGACAAGCGGTAAACGGTTCGGATACGCACGGGCAAGGTCTACAATTTTTACTAAGGGGGCGTTCCACGACAAATCGACAAATAAAAAATTAAATTTGCACCCTCATATTTTATTTTTCGTTGAAAACTGGTGTAATGTGATGGGCGGGGAAGCCAGCTGTGGCAAGAATTTTTTCTTCGAACAACGGTTTCCGAGATATAGCCTCGGGCAATTCCTGGAGGTCGCGCTGCAGCCCTATGTTTGGCGGCCTATAACTCAGAAACTATTAGTTTTCTACGATAAAACTTTATATGGTTCAACTCACAATCAACTAACAAACATTTTGGCTATCTCGGATTTTCAATTTTTGAAAATTTTGATCACGTGACCTTTTGACCTATTTTTAAGAGTGACCTTGATATTTTCCCCACTGAAAGTTGCAATTTTGTCTGATGACGATTAAAGCCTTATCAATTGTCATTCATATGCGAAAATAAAAAAGTGGCTATCGCCCTGCGTTGACCTCAGGTCAGGTCATTTTTATGACCTGTCCATTATTACGAGCGGGAGCGACAGCGAGATCTCGAGAATAAAACAAAATAGCGACAAGCGGTAAACGGTGCAGGGTACACACGGATAAGGTCTTTAATTTTACTGAGGCCATTTAAGGTCAGGTCAAAGATGACGTCACAGGAGCAAAAAGGAAGTCAAAATTGCGGCACTATATATATATATGAAGTTTTTCTCATCACAACTAGGAACAAACTAATAGCACCATCGTGATCCTCTCGTCGATCCGCATCGAAACATATGTATGTTGACCTCGAAAGGTCGAAATGTCAAAAGTTGACCTTAGGTCACGTGACCTAAGGTCAAGAAGAGCCCCCCCCCCCAGGAGGGCGCGTTATACGCAGACCCCATTGGGGTGCGGGTTAATAGCGTAAGCGGTTTGTGAGTTATTCCAGAAAAAACGGAAGGGGTCGGATCTGAACCCCTCCCCCCTCCCCCGCCCAGTTGGTCGCGGGTTAATGTATGAGCTGTCAGTTCGCAATAAGCTCAGGTTCTTCACCAAACCAAGTGCTGACTGCAGGTGGTTCGTTGCTTTTATCCCTCGTCCTTTCCCATTGTCATAACACACACCTACAAGGAAGCTGCGTGTGTCAAAGGAGCTCGAAAAGTTGATGACCACATGTGAGAGTCAGCATAAACTAACATGGATAATATTACCTACATGTAGGGGCAAGGTAACGAAGAATCATGGGGACAGTTAGTCTATATAAAAACAATATAAATAATAAAATGAAGGAACATGCTTTTTCTCGGTTCTAAGAATACCCCGGCCATGTGACCATTCGGACGGTGACAGCGCCAGGGATATCGGCTGTCACAACTGACAAGGGCTGTCAGGTCTAGTCAGCCGGCTAGCGCCGGAGAAAACCGCCATAAAGCCACACATCTTGGCAGACTGACAGCGACGCAGTTGGTCCGATTGATGTCTAAAGCATGCCCATGAGCTATAATGTCACCCATCGGCCTAATTAAGTATTTTACCAAGATTTAAACGCTATTTTTCGTTGGCACGCAGATTGCAGCGTTGCACTTACAGATGAACTGCATTTCTGACATAGGTAGGTATTGAAGATGCTCGTCCACGGCTTATGACAACACTTTTTTACATAGACCGTGACACAATCGGCCGCGAATGGGATAAGACAGACGCAAAAACTGGCTGCGTCGTTGGCGGTGAGCCCGTTAACCCGCGCCCCGCTGGGCTATTCAGCCATACGCGCCCTGCTGGGGGGGGGGGGGGCAGATTCTGCCCCCTGTCTAACTTCCGAACCGATGGTCGTAGAAAGACGGGGAAAACGGCAATCGAAAGCTCTTCATGTTTTAAAGGTCATTTTATTCATAGAATTCAATAGGCACACTCCATAAGTGATATGAACCAACTTGGATGAATTTCAGGTCGAGGTCAGGTCAAGGTCAGGTCAAGTGAGGTCAAATTTTGAAGTTGGTTTTGAAGGCCTAAAAAGGTGTCTATCTGATGCAGTTTTTCATGACGAATCGAATGGTTCTATTTTTGTTTCCGTACGAGGTCTAGAACGTCCAAAAAATCATTTTTCAAAAATGTTGTGTGTTGTGACGTCATAAAATTTCAAATAATTCCCACATTTTGAACCGATTCTTCTTAAAATTGGCATATATGTGCACACAGACCACTTCTCTGACATATATTCCGGTTTTTTCGATACACTCAAAATTTTAGATTTAATAATTATTTTCCCAAAAAAGTCAGTTTTTTTAGAAAAAAAAAGTTGGGCCAAAATTCAAAATTTTCAAAAAACCGAGATTGCCATTTGATAGGCAAAGTAAAATCACGTGTAACCTTTTTGTTACGTCTTGATTCCTTTAAAAATGAAGATGTTAGCGGCGTTTGAAATTTTGCCGTTTTTTAGGCGAAAATGGCGACGAACATGACGTCTCTAAAACGTCATTTTCTCCAAAAAAAAAAATCCGACGGATTTCGCTCAAATTTTCACACAACGTCTTAAATTGATGTATGATAAGGTACTGAAAGTTTGACGTCGCTGGCGAAACGCGTTTAGAAGTTATTGTCGAAAAACGGGAGGGAGCAGATTCTGCCGCTCCCCCTCCCCCAGTGGGGCGCGGGTTAAAGTTCCCGAGGTGACAGATTTCACCTGGCATCCTCTCCGTCACTTCATGTCAGAGTATACATGGTGGGTAGCACCCGGTGGAAGAACAGCCCCCACACTGTGCTCAGTGAGCGGTTCACTCACATAAACGGTCGCCCGATACCGCGCGTCCGTGACCGAATGGCCGTATGGGAGCCCGTTAAATCATATGGCTAAGTGATTTTTGAGCAAAAGGGCTTTATCCTGCACAGCCTACTGGCACTGAGCCTTCCAAAGTTTATTTTGTATGCATTGAGATGGGCAACACAGCACATTTGGGTAGGCGCGTTTCGTCACATTGAGTTTATCAGTGCCTTTTGGTAAAAAGAAACAATGCAAACACGCACATACAAGAATACGACTTCATTTCTGTCTTTGGCTTTATTCTTTATATTATATCATATTTATTCTCTATGTTAAGTAGCTTATCAAGTATCATTGTGAAAATTGCACACACCGACCTATACATACCGACCAACCGACCGACCTAATGTATTGCTATCACTGAAACGGGAAAATAAAAACCACCCTAGCTCCATTGCCTGCTGATATTTCATTAAAAAATGTTTTTTTTTTACCAGAGAAAACTGTTCTCTGAATTCTAAAACTTGCAGCTGCAATAGCGTTGTTAATTATCAAGTATTTTATTGATATATATCACGTATGTAATATTATTATAAGAATAAAAACGCTAAAATTGATTGGAACTTCGCTTTCCGCATTTCTGATTGTTGTTATCATGTAAACCATGTCGGTGTGTGGGTGTGGAAGTGGAAAACCACCTAAATCCTAATTGATAGTCATCCACTAGATCTGGTAAAATCGTAATTGAAATCGGACACTGTTTAGCTTATGCACGGCTGGAGTCCAAACTTCCGGGTGCCTTTTTAATTGCTCGTGAACAGCAGATGAATGACCACGTGGAGCTGATACCCATCGGCCGGCCTGCAACAAGGGCTGGACGTCTCAGTTTTGTTCCTATTCTCTCGCGAGTCACTACATAGTTAGTTTAGTAGCGAAGAGCTGAAGCCACTACTCACAGCGCCTCCCACTGCAGTTCCGTCAACGAAACGTCAAACAGTCCCTCTCTCAACGCTCTGACATCAGTGCTGTCGATTGCTGCGGCTCTCAGGACATACGTCACTCGGAGATAACGTTTCTCTGTAGCGTCTTCCCATTGTTTCTCGTCCACCGCCTTGCCTGTACCGAGGCGGCCGACCATGCGGCACAGCATACCTTTCAGGGGTGCCGGCCGGCCGGCTGTCGTATCAGGCATCAGCCGCACGGGCCAGCGCAGCATAACACGGCCCTGGTATTGGTGTCCGGTAACTCGTCAACGGCGACGGATAACTTTCGTGGGCCTTTTCCGAGGACAGCAAACTAACTCTGCTCGAATGATGTGGAAATAACTAACATCACGCACAATTAAATTAAAATAAGTGATTAAAAATCACGACTTTATACAATATCTTGGCATTAGTTGTTTAGGAATAGCTAGCAGTCGCATACTTCTTCATTTATTTCATTTATGTATTCAATCGAAGAGATCGCCAACAAGGCCTTAAGCCCACTTACAAGGAAAGTCAAGCCGATACCCCAAAGAGGGACAATGTGGGATGAATTAGGGATTAGGATGTGTCTCGCGTTGAATGAGGTCAACAACCCCTTTCTTCAGCGCAGCTCATGGTCATAGCCACATATAATCTTTATTGAGCAGGTCCCCAGACCCTACAGCTAACGCTTGGAGGTCTGGAAACTCCAGCTGCCGGCTGTAATTCTGATGAATGTTATTTGGACACGCCCCCAGCTCATCTAAACTGTCTGACCCTGGGTGCTACCGTCCGCTGAGCAAAAGCCGTGTATAGCAAAACTCGAGCATTGCCACCCATTCTGCCAAACTGGACTTTCGGGGAATACACATTACACAGTCCTCTCCTTCCACTGCTGTTAATGCCAATGGCACCCCGTCACCGACTGGTAAAGATGGTAAACAAAATGGCACCGTTTCGTAAAAACGCTGTTTGACGCCATAGGCCGTTTTTATCCGTAGCTCGTCAATGTCCAGTGTCGCACTGACGTTTTCCAGGCCGTGTCGGGTTGTGACAGGAGCTGGAATTTCTCCCAGCGCTGGGGCAGGGGTCCTCAGCGGCTGACAACGGTCACACAGCACGACGCGTCGGTCACCGTACATATGTCCGTCACCCACTGGCAGCCAGGCCCCCGGGCTCTGTGACGTCACACAAATGAACCCGGTGCGCACCCACTCCCATTGGAGGTCTGGATGGGTCGTCCATCAGTGTTTGTCACAGTAGCGCGGTGATCGCACACGCATTGGCCCGTTCTGCCGAGCTACCGCGCCCCACAGCACAATGGAGGTCGCTGCGACCGTGATAGCGACGGAGCGGAGCGCAGGTCAACGCGACCAGACGGTGAGATGTCCAGCAGCAGAGCGAAACAAAAACAATAGGTAGAGCGTGTGCCGTGTTGCACTTATAACTATAGGTGCAATAAATCGAATTGCATGTAAAAACTCCTCAAAAATAATTAGAAGACTATGCAAAGGTTGTTGCTTTTTTATTCTTGTTGATTACATCGTGAATCAATTATTGATTGAAAATTATGATCTTTTATTTTAGCTTTTTAACTGCATTTCACCTTCTACGAAAATGTATTTTTTGATAGGTATTCTGAAACATAAGTGTCTAACCGAATCATATCTACCGAATTCAACCGAACTAAGCATCTAATCGGAAGTTCAAACTATATTCAGGCGCTATATGTTTTTCACGGCAGCTGATAGGTTGATGGAAAGCGTTCTATAGCATGCCTGATGCCAGACATTGCTATGTTATGGAAATTCACATCCGATAACAATAATGAGCGCGTGCTGCGTTTGATTCAGCATTTGTAATGTTGTAAAATTTATGAGCACAACAGCATCAAACCAAGCTTTCAGTACCACATTTCAATACATTTCAAACCATCTAAAAGCTCTCCAAAATCACGCCATTCTATGCGGCTAATCACAGATTCCTAGAGCATTCGTTCTCAATTTTGAAACCAAAGATATGCATGACAAATTTATTAAGAAAACGTACTCCTACATGTTACGTTTGAGACCAAGTCCAATCTCTAGGCACTACCATCAGTGACACTGGCCAGCACGTCTCGATCATCGGCAGCACTCCGCATAGAGCCAGCGGCGTATTTAGAAAATCGCGAAGGGGGGGCCAAGGGTTTGGAGGGCGCCACCTCACCCAAGGAGGGCGCCATACGGTCGCGAGATAAAAAATCGTTCAGTGGGGGTTGGGGGGTTGGGAGGCGTTTTTTACCATGCCACCAGTTTTTTTTTTTGCGTAACCTCGTATAGGTCGTGCTGCATTGATTTTGCATCGTGTGTATTCTTTATACTCCAGGTCACAAAAGGTCAAGTGTTCTTGAAATGCTGCGCCGAAGGCGCGCGAAATTTTTGAAAACAACCTTTTCCTCCGCTTTTTAGGCACGCCTTTTATACGATCACTGTTCAAAGCTCCTCTCGCTCTTTTACCAAATTTGAAGGTGTAAAAAATACCTAAGGTTTGGTCGGGCCGCTGCCACACAAACTGTACAGAAAGCTTGGCTCATGGGTGTCGATGTATAAAAGTTTATTGGCGGTGGCATATCTACGCACCAGATCACCGTATCGGATTGATACCGGAGCGCGAGATGCGTAAACATCATCCAAATTACCTCAGACCAGCCTTCATAGCCTTCTCACAGATGCATACAGTGTACCCACATAACCAGTTTCAATCACCGAAACTTCAGATGCCTGCTGTTGCGCCCGAACCTGTTGACAATACTTAATCGTAATCCATATAGATGCCATGATGCACGTAAAGTAGGATCAATCCGTTAAGACCAAAGACGTGTTTTATGCATCGTAGAGCGTAGATAGTTTTGGTAGGTATAGATACTTCATTCATTGTGCTGAATGCACGTTCATTTGTGGCAGTTTTCACAGGCAAGACATCAACTATGTGCAATAGAACGACTAAGTTGAAAAACATGCCAAAGGAGTAAATAAATGATAGGAGGGCAGCGATCAACGGATGTTGCCAATAGGTAGAAGGGCTGCGATCCACAGGAGGGCACTAATAGGTAGAAGAGCCCCGATCAACATCCCGAGTTTCGACAGTAGGGCACCGATAGGTAGGAAGTTGGCGAGCAGCAGGAGGGCGCCAATGGATAGAAGGGCAGCGATCAACAGGAGGGCACCAATAGGTAGGAGGGCGCCGATCAACAATCAACAGGAGGGCGCCACCAGGTAAGAGGGTGGCGAGGAACAGGAGAGCACCAATAGGAGGGTGGCGATCAACAAGAGGTCGCCAATAGGTGGGAGGGCGGTCATCAACTGGAAGTCGCCAATGAGCGGAAGGGTGACGATTAAAATGGGGGTGGCAATGGTGAGGAGGGCGCCTTTGCTCAAGAGGATGACACGAACAGGAGGGCGTCTGTGCGGAGGGCGCTGGTCAACAGGAAGGTGCCAGTGGATAGGAGGGCGGTGATCAACAGGAGGGTGCCAGTGGTTAGGAGGGCGGCGATCTACACGAGGGCGCCAATAGGAGAAGGGCCCCGATTAACATTCAACAGGAAGGACTAGGGAACCAATAGGTAGGAGGGCGGCACTGAACAAGAGGGTGCCAAAAGGGAGAAAGGCGGCCTTCAAAATTTCACATGAAGGCTCAATAGGTAGGAGAGCGCCAATAATTATGAGGACGCCGATCAGCAGAAGGGCGGCAATGTGTAGCAGGGTGGCGACCTACAGGAGGGCGCCTTCGGGTGAGAGGGCGCTTATTTACAGGACAGCGGCTTACATAGGCGACCACCGTTACGCTTAGAGAGCTACAGCCTACAAATGTGGTTGGAGGGCGCCCGAGGGAGCCTTCCAACCGTATTTGGAGGGCGTATTTGGAATGGGCGTCCTCCGAGGGCGCCCTCCATCCGTATTTTCCCTGTAAACACATTCGCGATTGGAGGGCGCCCTCCAGTCGCGATTGTTTTTCGATTCGATTATATCACAATTGCATTTGCGATTGGAGGGCGCCTTCGGCGCCCAAGGGAGGGGGGCATGGCCCAGTGGCCCCCCCCCCCTACCTACGCCCCTGCATAGAGCACCCGTCCCTGCTGAAAGTCCCTGTCCGTTCCACCGTATATACCACAGGAACTGCCGAGCGCCGACCCCTCGGCCATCCGACGGCACCCGGACACCGAGGAGGCGCCTCCTCGGGATGAGGAACAGGCCGACTCCAGCCGGCGCGGCACCTGGGGCTCCCAGCTGGAGTTCCTGCTGTCCTGTCTGTCGTACGCGGTCGGTTTGGGAAACATCTGGCGGTTCCCCTACCTCTGCTACCAGAACGGAGGCGGTGAGAGCACTACTGCATGGTGAACTGTGTACATACATACACATCTTACTGAAATGAAAGCAGCCGAGAGCATCTTCGGACCAGCACATAAACACCGCGCAGTGTATTGTGTTTCTGTTGCTAGCTTACTTTTGTATTAAATCTATCAGCCCTGCATATAGGATTGCGATAGTAGGATTAAAAGAAAAAATTGTGAGACAGCAAGTCAAGGCGTATTTGTGCTCCTCGTAACTCGTAAGTCAGTGCCCGCTTGATCTTAATAGTTTGACGTGTTAGCATTTAATTTCATTGATTTTTCGTATGTATCTAGGCAACGATACTTCAGGGTCAGGTGGAATTCAAGTCGACAATAAACAGCTACAGACTCAGGTTACGTCCCTTCGGTTTTGAACCCTAATTCATTCCGGGGTGTTGTGTATGTCTGTCTCATGGCGCGAGGCGGAAGTCCGTCTGAGGCACAAAGGGCGCTGAGTTGTGGCCTGCTGACCGGTTCTCTCGAATTACATCGCGTCTCTCGTGTCAGTCCCAGACCCTCGAGGGGCAGCGCAGCGAAACGGGCGACTGTGAGAGGGGTCCGATATTATTAAAGTTACTGAAGGCTCCAAGACTACCTCAGGTATAAGATTTACGTCTCAGAACAAGTATAGTGTCATTGGTCAATGTGCATATGATATGTTACAAGTGTGAAAATCAAATGAAAACAGGATAAAGGAAACCGTTGGACCCATGACTGCTCAGTTTTTATAAACCTTTGGTACCCACTAGATTCTATACAGCGCCACTTCCGAGCGCTCCGAGCGTAATAATTCGCTGTGATACCTATTACCTACCATTTGACGCTCCGCGTTGTCACAGGTGCGTTCCTGATACCGTATGTGATAATGCTGTTCTGCACGGGCGTGCCGCTGTTCTTTTTCGAGCTGACGCTGGGTCAGTTCACCAGCCGCGGCCCTATAGCCGTCTGGAGTGTGTGCCCGCTTTTTCAAGGTGAGGTAATCTTATCCCTTTTCATCACATGCATAATGTGAAGGAAATACACCTTAGAGTTTTGTTGTACCTACATCAAACATAATATGCATTATTTCAAAAATAAAACACTGAAACTGTGTTCTTATGCCTATCACATATAAGCTATTGGAGGAGCAGCAGCCCTCTTGCAATTGTACGTAAGCGGCCCATTGAAAGAAAGAATGAATAAAATAATATATTGCATCATAGACTTGGGTTATACCTCTGTGTACAATATAATAAACATAGAGCATAAAAAAGAGAGACAATGATGAGTCGCTTGGTATTGCTTTCGACATAACTTATCTCTGCTTTTGTCGGCAGGCATTGGCTACGCAATGTTTTTCATTTCATTGTTCATCGGTATCTACTACAATTTGATCTTGGCGTGGACCATCTTCTACCTCTACTCCAGTTTCACAGACAGTCTGCAATGGACGAGCTGCGACAACTGGTGGAACACAGAAGGTCAGCTATTCAGCTATCGAATAATACAGAAGGGCTACAATGCTATGGCCAACATTGATACCGAGCAAACATTTAAAAACGCGTGAATAGTTTAATTACACACGTCACTCGAATTTGAATCAATGGAGACGGAAAAGTATACTGAACCTCGGTCTTCCGGCTAGCAATATTTTTCAACTTATTTATTTCTGTTTATGCTCGTAAGGTCTCAGATTTTAGTTGATGTCAGCGAGCTGTGTCTGCACAGCGATATGACCCTGCTAAGCTGCAGCCTGGGGCTGTCATTAGGCTCGGTACGAGACTGGGCTGCAGCTTGTTTGGCCCGGAGGTATGCAGCCCTGGCTGTAGGTAGCTCATGCCTCTCACCGTATGTAGTTACACGCAGGGGCGGATCCAGAAAATCTCCAAGGGAGGGGCCATTAGAAACCAGGAGGCCCCCCCCCCTATAATCCCACCTGTTGGAGGCCCCATCTTCCCACTTGTTGCCCCCCCCCCCAAAAAAAAACTGCGTCTATTGAGCTTATCTAGCTGTTCAGGCAACATCTCAACATCTGTGCAGGCTTGGAGGCCCTCTGTGCAGGTTAGGAGGCCCTGTAAAAGTGGTCATCTCTGTGAGTATAAGAGACCTCCAAGTTATGAAAAGCTTTACCAATCTTCTAACAAAGAAGTCTTCTCAGCTAGTCTTCTAAGAAATAACTAAGTGGGTAGGTAAAAAAAAAACTCATCGGATTTCGGCCACTTTATTTTCAGGAGGCCCCCTTTTCAGCTTTTTAACTTTTTAACTTTTTATTTTATTTTTGAAAAAAAAATCGGCCAAGGGGGGGGGGGCCATGGCCCCCATGGCCCCCCCCCTTGTATCCGCGCCTGGTTACACGACTGATAATGCTAACGTTAGGCAGACGGGGTGGCCGCGGCGCAGCCAGAAGTTGACCCCACGCGGCCACTCAAGGGACAGTTATAGCAGACGCTGGCGCCAGGCCTGCCCCAGTGTTTATTCTCATCGGCGTGGGGCGCACGCTTCTATTCATGTGCCAACGGCGCACACTGAGACGCATGACGTCATCATAATAAATTTAACATGACAAACGTATTTGGCGTATACAAGAAATATTTTAGTTAGCTGGTAGTTGGCTGCTAAAACGTTCAAACCGTTTTCACCGATCATCGCTCAGGAAGCTGATGTATTTCAGGCTGTCGGCGGTTTGACGATAAGAACTGTACGTCTGTCGGCGGCCTCCTGAACGCCACGGGTGACTGTGTGCTGTCCCATCACGTGGACGACGCCACGTGGCAGCTGCTGAACACGACCGCCAGCCAGCGGAGGATGCCCGCTGACGAGTTCTTCCAGTGAGATCGCAAGGCAGGGCCGGTTTGGATTCATTGCCGCCCGCTCTTTTACATACTGCTGGAGGGGACGGCCACTTGGCCCAGCCTTCCAGTCTAAAAATGGTCTAGGCCTTGGGATCGCTCAAACAATTTTGCATTTCCCTGTTCCGAGGCTTTTATAAATCCATCAACGGGCTCATTAGAGTTGGGTCGCAGCCATTTTTTTGCTAAATCACAGTTCACATGCTGAAATGCTGAACAAATACATATATATCGACAGTGGATTACAGTGCACTATATGTAATAATTGCTGCCCCTTTTCCTTTCCCAGTAATTTTATGCTGGGCATCACGGATGGCATCCATGATATTGGGAGCGTCCAGTGGCCGCTGGTCGCGTGCCTTCTGGTCGCCTGGACGCTCGTCTTCCTGGCGCTCCTGAAGGGCGTGAAGAGCTTTGGAAAAGTGAGCACTCCGTTCTCTAAACTCTGATGAACATCGTAACTATATATTTTAGTTCGACCACTTTGAACCCCATGTTTTGTCAGTTGGTCATTTTGCAACGTCTGTTTTTACAGGGACTTGTAAAAAAGGATAGTTGCTTTTCACCCAATTAATTCCATCCTTTATCTCAGGTTATAGACGCAACGTTTTTTTTTTTGTAGATGTGTATATGCTTATATATAGGCACAGATAACAGTAGTACTGGATTGGAAACAGGATTCCGGTGGCTGCAGTAAGAGGCCGAAAACAGAACCGAATATTTCGTGCCCAGACTTCGATATCTCCTCTCACAGGCAACAAAAAAAAAAAAAATATTGGTTTATATGAATGAAACTTATAAAGAAGCAATCTAGCGGTGCTGGTGTCAATTGCTGCATTTTTGCATAATGGCAACTTATTTTACTAAACGTTGCTGGTTACACTTTCCTCACCGTGGTGAGGGAACGTATGCCACTGATTTGATTATAATGATTTCCCACTCTCATCCACAAAAAGTACTGGTACATAGGAGTTTGATCTCTTTATTTACATGCTAATCGACACCAGTCCTGTCACAACGAACCATCCAAACGTCACAATTCAAACCAACGTCACAAAACACCTCTGTTACACATCTGTAATTACTGTTATCTGTGAATAGGCATACACACCTACCATATATGGTACGCATGTGACTTGCCATACACTCGACATGACACTTTTCAGGCTGTGTACTTTACTGCCACGTTTCCGTACCTGATTCTGCTGTGTCTGCTGGTTCGTGCCGCCACTTTGCCGGGATACATGGCAGGGATCTCATTTTATGTCACACCGCGCTGGGAGAAATTGGCGCACGCCAAGGTGAGAAGAAATGCGTAGTACTTATGACTGTTAATATGTTGACTTACTCTTTACTTATTCAGCCTAAACAAACGGACAGGTTGACTTATGGAATGCTCAATTAAATGCAACTTTTGTTGTCAGTTTGAAGCATTTTTCGCACCTGCATCCTAATTTGTTCTTGTTCCTGAATCACAGGTTTGGGCGGACGCGGCGATACAAATTTTCTTTTCGCTCTCACCGTGTTGGGGTGGTCTGATTACACTGGCGTCGTACAACAAATTCCACAACAACCACTTCAAGTAAGGAAACGCCGACACTAATTAAATGTTCGATATCTTTAACAAACCATGTTTTTTAGAAGAAATGTGATCTTAATAAAAGCTAGATATAAATGTAGTTGCGTGCACGGAGTGATAACTGGTTGAAAGGATTATTTCATCATAATCTGTTTGATGTTCGCTATGCGAAAATAGCGCACCGAGATCATTTCCTTGAACCCAAATAAGTACCTTTGTATGTACAACCGTTTTCCTATACGTATAGGGACGCCATCATCATATCGTGCGGCAACTGCTTGACAAGCTTCTTCGCCGGGTTCGTGATCTTCGGCATCGTGGGCTTCATGGCACACGAGCTCGGTGTCGAGGTGGACGAGGTCGTGGCCCAAGGTGAGCGAACGAGTCCATTTCCACTTTCCACTCTTCAGCGGTCTAAACTCAAAAAGAAAGTGGAAACACATCGGCATATTTGTATGTGACCAAATGTTCCAAAGATCGGTGGATACAATACGTTTGCCTTGCATCATTTACCTAATTCATTTTTTTTGTAATTACTAGAGGTACAGGTTTACGCGATAACTATATGTTTTGATATGTATGATTGACGGATGCATTAGTTTTGGGTGTAGAAACTTGCGTTTAATGGTATTATTTGTGTATAACTGGGTAACTGCTTTTAATTGAACTGTAAAGTATGATGGTAATGCATGCGAGTCGTTCGAGCCCTTTGTAAGTTAGGATGTTACTCAATTCAACCCTACCGTACCCTACCCTACCCTACCCTACCCTACACTACCCTACCCTACCCTACCCTACCCTACCCTACCCTACCCTACCCTACCCCTACCATACCCTACCCTACTCTACCCTACCCTACCCCTACCCTACCCTACCCTACCCTACAATCCCCTACCCTACCCTACAATCCCCTACCCTACCCTACCCTACCCTACAATCCCCTACCCTACCCTACCCTACCCTACCCTACCCTACCCTACCCTACCCTACCCCTACACTACCCTACCCTACCCTACCTACCTACTCTACCCTACCTACCCTACCATACCCTACCCTACCCTATACTTACACTACCCTACCCTACCCTTACACTACCCTTCCCTACCCTACCCTACCCTACCCTACCCTACCCTACCCTACCCTACCCTACCTACCCTACCCCTACACTACCCTACCCTACCCTACCCTACCCTACCCTACCCTACCTACCCTAA